GTGCGTGATTGGCGCCCAAACAACTTGACCAGTACGATCGGCAGTCCGTTACTCTTCCGCACTATCTGTATCTTATTGCTATGTGGTCAAACTGGGACTATTCTTGTGTTTGAGAAAACGAACGCCAGATAACAGTCTGCCTTTTTGAATGGCGAAAACTGGCGTTCGAAAAAAACAGGCGATGATTAGAACAAGGAGTCATTAATCTGTCTCCATTGTCTGATTAGCTGCTACCGAGGCCAAAACTACCCCTCAAGATGGTGCTGGCGTGGTGACAGGAGGCCCACTCATGCGGTAAAATCTCCGGCAAGAATGACAATGTCAGACTTTTTAGCGGAACGCGGACGCTCATGTAGCTGTTGATAAAAGCAATTCTTGACTGCATCCGGATTGCAGTGTGTATGAACGTGGGCGGAGATGACAAACAAAGCATGCGTAACATCTCGACGCTTAAGTAACTAACATGAGCCTCATAGTCTGACCGCACATAGCCGACTGTTGATTAGGACCCAGTCAAGCTAGGCAACCTCAGCCCTGTCACTCAGTGCAACCCCGACACCAGCTTGGCTAGAAGCGGTTGCCTCTGCGTCTCCGGAAAGCTGCAAGTGGTATTTGACGTCAGGGTTTGCCGTAGATCTCATTCTGATGACGCTACTGGCGTCTTGTAACCTGGTTTCGGAAAGGCATGATTCCACCGAGAATGTCTGAAGAGTGCCGGCCAGACATGCTTGTCGTCCGATCTGCATCAGAGTGCGCACATTGAATGCTGCAAGACCGAATGGAAAACCAGGATGAGGGAAAGCTTGGACTTCGGTTGAGTTTGCGGATGTTGTGACCACCGGGCAACGAACACCTGACGTTTGGCTAAGAACTTTGGCAGATGCGACCAGTGAGCTGTTTTTGACGATGACCGGGAAAGACATAGGTGCACTTGAGGAACTGGACGTGGGGAGATTTGTGAGCGGCTGTTGAGCAGCAGAGACAGTAAAGTCAATAGTGTAATCCATCCATGGTTCTTCAGTGGGCATGGTACTACCCGGTTGCCCAGGCCGAAGTAGAGGGTTGTCTTGGGGAGAGCCACCCCGAGCCTTTGATCCAGGATCTAGCCTACAAGGCATCAGAGGACTATGAATGTAAGCAACTCGTTGGGATCCGGTGACCAAACAAGTGGTTCATACGCCCTTAGGACCGCATAGGACCAGGGGCCCAACGCACCCTTGAATTACAATGCCGCTCCGAGAGAGGCATGGGGCAGTGACTTTATTTAGTGGCGACTCACATCCGCCACGTTTTATAGGGAGAACGCTTGCCATGCGGAAACCCACCACGTCCTTTAACACTGCCGCTGAATCATTCGCTTGAATGGGATAATCCCGCACCACCCAGCTGGCACCACGAGGAAGTTGCTCGACAAGCCTGATACTCGTGAAAGTCAGATTCGCGAGGAACAAGCCGGATTTCTTCGAAGTCGGGACTGTATTGACCACCTCTTCATCCTACGCCACTTGTTGGAACGCGACCGTATTCATTGGTGAGCCACTGTAGTCGAGTTCCTCGATATCGAAGGTGCTTTCGATTCGGTTGATCGATGTGCCATTTGGAACTGTTTGCTCAGGGCATGTATGCCCGAGAAATACGTAAACATTATCAAAACGCTTCACGCGCATAGTTCGGATAGTGTCATGACTTATGGCAAACTGTCGCCACTCTTCAAGGTTGATCACTGTCTCCTTTTCTATTTAACCTCGTCATCAACGAACTCATGAAAGTGGCATTCACTGAACATGACTTAGAATTTGTGGCGCTGTTTCCACTTGAGCGACTTCTTGACTTGAAGTGGGCGACGGACATTGTCCTAATCTGCGACAGCCCCCAAACGAGCCAAGCAGCACTGGCTGTCATTAGTTCTTTCTGTTATTTGCATCCTCCTCTGAAATAGGCAGGGACCCAACCCTGCGCGGACCCTTTACGGCAATCGGTTATAAGTCGTCGAGAAATTCAAGTACTTTGGCGTCTACGTTAAGTCCGCTGTAATAGAAAATGCAATCACAAACCGTCTAGCAAAAGCCTGGGACACTTTTGCTCGGCTTCGCCATCTACGGTGCCGACGCGACATCATTATCACCCTAAATGGCAGAGTTTACAATGCAACCGTCCGTTCAGTTCTATACGGTTGCGAAACCTGGTCCATCGCCGACAGACGTAAAGAGTTCGACCATCGCTGCCTTCGCAGCTTAGCGCATGCCTGGTGTGGGCACCACGTGAGCAATGAGCGTGTTCGGCGTCCCGTCTTTGATGAAGCAAGAGCGAGTGAACAGCTCAGCACCATTATATCACGCACCAGTCTCCGATGGCTGGGCCACGTGTTGCGCATGCCAGCACATCGACTCCCGCAGTCTGCGTTGTTTGCGCGTTGGCGTTGTGGATAGAACAAGAGGAGGGGAGGCCAAGCGGTGACTTCGTCAAGAGGTATGAAGTCGCTCACTTCGAACTGGCATCGGTTGATGTCTCCCGAGTGCCTGGCTGGGGTCCGAAGGATGATGAACACTTTTGGTGGGATGCACTAGGTTGGCATGGCAAGGAGCCAACCTCAATGGCGATTGTGTCGTGAATTCCTTTGTCCATTCCCTTCCTGCTTAGCTCCTCCTTCCAACAACGATCTCACACTGCATGGATAATATGACAGCATTATGTTACTTGCTTTTTTATTCTTTATTCTATAATGTTTAGTGTTTTGCTTCCTCGTTTATCTTTTATTTTATCTTTCGGCACATTTAGTTGAAGTGTGTTTCTCGCCTTCATCTACTGTCGGGCTGAACGGTCGAAACTTTTGATACCATCATCAGACGGATAGTTTAGACACTGAATTCCAATGCATCACTGACCTACTGACTATGACACGTTTGGTGGTTTGGGTCTTTGATTCCCTATCTACAACTACCGCATCCTTTTGCACGGCCAGTTCCTTCGTGTCTGTGAGCGACACATGCCTGAGTAGGCGGAAGGCCTGTGAAGTGGCCTGATCCGGTGCAGACTGCACACGCACGGTAAGCGGTTCAGCGCGGCTCCAAATGCTCGGTTAATATACGCTCGCTAGTTGACGTCAACGTTGCTACATTGTGGCGCATACAACTTATCGCAGCGCTCTCTGGTTCTTCTAACCGTTACCTTTTCTTGGTCTTTTGCAATTGAACATTCTTACCAGCTGCCAAATTCTCTATCTTTCTCGTTTACGTTTGCCGTCATTTTCACTGCCGTCACCTTGTGTCATGTGATGAACTTACCACCTACGCTGTTTTGGTCACATTCTCTGCATTGCCTGTCAATCAGCCGCTTCGTTGTGTCTTGTTTTTCTGAGAGCACACGCAGTCAGCTCTGCGTCGATGGGGCTAACACAGCTCCTGTGTCGTGTTGACGTCGACCGTCCGCTAGAAGGTGGCTTGCCCTTGCTGGTTAGTTAATGGCACCACGTAAGCTCCGGAGTTTTTCTTTTGGTGCAGCCTATTCTCCTTTTTCAGATTTCCGGTTTTTACCAGTTGCCCTCCTAATTTTCGAGATCACGGTGGCGCGCGACACGGTAACTCGTGAGATCTCAGCTCGTAGTCCGTTGTTCCCAATTCCTGACTGCAATACGCAATCCCCGTCCGTAACGTTACTTTCGTCACATCGTTCCCTGTTTAAGTGACTGTTTTGAGTCTTTGATGCTAATTTGCACTGAATTAGACCACATGCCCGCTTATATTATGGTGCTGTTTCAGGCAACAACGGAGCTGCTCACAAATGCTACTCCTTAGCTTCCTTTAACCGATCATCGCCTCCCAATCGGTGCTCACTGTTCAGTGACTAAAGTCGGTGGTGCAGCTCGATTCGAGGGGGATTGGCGCTACTAGTTTATTCCGATGGGGCGAAACGGCCGTCATGTAATGGCTATCTAACTAAACCTCCTTGGACTGTTTCATGGGTGGGGTCACGAGCGGCGAGCTATAATCTACACGCATTCCCGAGCATTTTTACTCGTCCTTCTGCCGCTTTCATTGCCTCGAGGTTACCTAAGAAAGAATGTGTTTTCAGTTAGTTTCCACTTTCATTTGCAGCATGTCTCAACAAATAAGCTACAGTTGACCACTCAACGGACTGGACCAAAACATTCATCATACAGAGGTCTGCATACAAATGCTTTGCATGGTACACGTCTGAAAAGCAACAAATAAAACGGTCAACGTAGGAATTGGTCAATATGAGGGGTTATTTTATAACTACCAACTGTTGTGTCACCAAAGAACACCTTCGCCCCTCGACCGCAAAAAGAGCTCCAAAGACTCATCGGGAAAGAATTGTATGCATTGAATCATGACTGTTTACTTTTGTGAATAGACTGAAGAGAAGCTACTAAAGGACATTCAACTCAAGCATATTGCTGAAGACATGCAAACAGAATGATGCCAATGAAGAATGATCAATAAAGGAACCAATAAATGGCACTCAACGAACGAAAATAGAGAGCGTAAGCAGCCAAATGGAACTGCGACCCAAAGGCAGCAACAGTTATTACAAGGAGCCAATGAAGTTAGCGGAATGTTGTGTTAAAACAAATGTCCGTAACAGCGAAAACGGAAGGAAACAAATCGGTAATTACTAATGTTTTCCAAAAAATATATGTCCACTGAGTATCACCCTAACTCCTACGCTTCTTGTTTTAAGTCCCCTCAGTGCATTCCTGCTTCGTCTACAGTTTTAATTGGCACTTCATGTGCCTAATACACTCCGTTTCATGCGAGTGATCATGTGTGTTTTGGGGTTTCACTGACACCAGAGCATGTACGACTAGCTAGAGTGGGTCGTAGATACGTTACCATGATGTTCGCGCCCTGTTGTCACTCGCAAATTGTAGTTCCACCGCTGCACTCCACTTTTTTCCCCAAACAATACCAAATCAGTTGTGAACTTGACGGTCTAAACTGTTACATGACGTGTTTACCTCTTCTTCGTCTTCCCTACAGAACTCTGTGATCCCTCGGCCTTTCCATCCATTTGTCTCCTCCCTGGATGAGATTGCGATGCGACTCACTAACCTTTGTCGAAGATGGCCTCTGACTCGACTACTCTTCTTCCTTTATCTGGCAATACTTCATTTATGGCTTCTATTTGCCTCTTTCCTGTTCCTTCCAACACCCGTCCCTCGCGTGTAAGAGCTGATCTACACCTGAAGTTAGCCTCTACATGCCTGTCCACCGGATAAATGGACGTTGTTTTTTGCTACATTAGCCATTTCGGCTCTTCTATCCATAACGCGCTTTCGTCTAGTCTTCCAGGCTCCTGTTTTTTTGTATTTGTTCTCATTTTTTGCACCAACATCTTTTCTGTCATTGTTTTAACTACGGTTGTTTCATTCAACTTATGCTGTGCTTCTTTTCAACTATAACCGGTACTATGGTCTACGTGTGTATTCCTTGCTTGCAGTGACCGGATCAACACTTTTACGGCTTTACACAGTTCTCTTGATTTTATCTACTTTTTTAATTTTCGTCTTACTTAGTTCATCTAATGTTTATCTCATTCGATTATGTCACTAGGTCAATCTGTGATTCAACATTTCCAAGGTATATAATATCAGCTACATATCATAGTTTCGTTGAACCTACGCGATCGCCACATTAACAACAGTGTTTCAAAACTTCATGTATGTAACGCTCTACGGAGTGAGAGCCCTTTTCCCTTCTTGTTACAAGCCTGTTGTTGCATTCGGCCACAGTATATGTTCATCTGGCGCGCCATCGGACTCACGGCGCTAAATTCTTCACCGCCCCTGTGATTCCTACCGGTCGATTTTCACAGTCCTCATAGCGACTTTGCGTTCATTCTATTTAATCGTTGAGTGAATTTCGTAATCTTCGTTTTTGCTGATGCTCCCTCTTTTGAATCACCTCAAGCGTCTTTTTGTCGTTTTAAACACTGCACGACGCTGCGTTAAACGCCACTTGACGTACTTGCTTGCCGAGTGTGTTAGCTCATGAAATCCCACATCTGATTAACACATGAGCATTGCTCATCCGGCCAGTCACTATAGCAAGTCGCTGCCATCTAAGCCTTGTTCACACCTCAACCCCACGAAGGAGTGCACCTGATCGGGGTCTTGAGAGGTTTGCCATGTATCTACGTGGCATAGCTTTTCGTAACACAAATGCTAGCTATGCACGGTTGTTGTTGTTGTTGCAACAGGTTACTCTGAATGCAACGAGGTTTCTTTTGTCACTTTGTTGTTACTCTGAATCTGATGGTTTGTCCTTCCTCCAGCAATTGACGAATCTAGTGTGAGTGGCTCCGAATGTGGAAATGCAACGGCAGGGGCAACTTAATGCATTGTTGATGCTCGTAAACCACTGCTCTACGTCAAATTCCAGTCACGTTGGACGGATGCTTGCTGTATGATACGGTTACATGTGTTTCCGCTTCGAATACAGTCACCTGAAACAATCGGTTAATTGCTGACTTACTCCTCTGTTATGTCTCTCGTAGGGAACTCAGCGATATCGTAAGGAGGTAAGTCAAGGATCCGGACCCTGGTCCCATACAACAACGGTACTTTGAGGTAAGAAGGAATGGAGTCGCTTGTTCTGGGAACGGCAGGAGCAAGTGTGCGTACTGTTGTTTACCATCTTCCCTGTACGCTCACATTGGCGGAGTGTACACATGAAGTGCATAGTATTGCAATCTTGTTGGCTCTGACTCGGTTGAAAGCCGTCAATTCTTTCACTATACACCGATTGGATTATGTCAAAAAATCCGACTCTATCTTTCATAAGGGTTCGTTTGCTTTAACCCGTCGTTAAGGTCTAGCTGTCGCTGGTGGTACCGCGGGCAGTTGGTCAACTAGTTTATTTAA